TTCCAGTGCATTCCTGCCAAGAAAGATGCAGCACACCCTCAGTGCACATCAGTGGTGCTGTGTTATTGTAAAAAGCATTACACTGTTTGTCACAGAAGTGTGTGTGTGAGAGAGAGAGAGAGAAAGAGAGAGAAAGAGAGGACATTATGACAGCAGAGGTTTTTAAGTCGTACCTCAGAGACCAGGCCATTCAGCTGCTGGGAGAGCTGTCGCAGGCTCTCAGTGGAAGACAACGGTCTGTAGAAAACACACATAAATTATAATCTTAAACATTTACTTGGTCATTTCCTTTGTTCGGTTGGTTTTCAGTGGCTAAATTAGAAGGATATATGGAAGGGACATTAGAATTCCTTTTTGTACCTATTATATTATAATTGTAGTTCTGTTATGGTAGTTGTGGTTCAAATAATTTAAGAATCTTGACAGTCTAAACATATGATGCTTAAACGCAAACTATCATGGAAGAAGATGAAGATGAACTTTATTGTCACAGTGGGAAATTTGCCTTGGACTTCACTGTACTTTGATGAAGTAACAAAACACCAAAATACATTCATTCATCAGTAAAACCTGTGCCCAATAGTCCAAAAACTATTTTTTCCTAACAAAACGCGTATTTATGTATGTGGATACATACACATATAGTTGTTTGTGTTTCTGTGTTTTATGACACAAGACACAAGAAGTGAGAAATCGAGTGACCTACCTGTTTTCTTCTGTTAAACTCTCATTGCCATTGGTATCAGGATAGTCCTGCAGAAAGAGAGTGCAGCCAAAAAGGGGAAGAGACAGTGAGAAAGAGAAAAAAATAGTCTGAATGTTTTAGAAAAAAAATACTTGGGTGATGACAATGCACATTTGCACACATCCCATTACACACAAACAGGAATATAAAAACTGATCCTGGAGAGAGACACACACCTGCAGGTCAGAGTTGTGACCGGCAGACTCAGAGTTAGTAGCAGTGTTAGGGCTAGCAGTGTTAGATACAGGTGAGACACGACCAGGCTCGGCCGATGGGTCCTCCAGTAGCTGTGGATCTGAGGAGCCCATGACCTCCATGTCAGCAAACGCCTGAGGTGACACATACACAAAGAAACGCACACACTGGTTTAATGCCAAGAATAGGAGCAGTTATGATGACTGAGAGCAGACCACAATGATGTAGGGAACTACATACAGTTAGAGCTCATGAGCATGAAAAAGTGCAAACTGTAATGAATTAGATTGATGATATGATGCAGTCACCTCAATTATATCATTAATTAACACATCCACATGGTGATATCTGCAACGGACTATAATGCAATGTCTAAGCAAAGGTAATATTAAAATAAAATTGAAGGATTAAGGTTTATTTCTGAATGCAAGCTCTGTAACTTGAGGTGAGAGCTGAGGCAGTAAAGGGGTTTCCCTGATCCGGATACCCAAAGGGCTTTCTGCAACACTTGCAGATTGAAAGAACTGAAAGAAGTGAAGACTGTGATGTGTAAATGCCAACATGTATTTGAACGATTGACGTATAACTGACTTTAGAGCTAATGTGTGCCAGACATCTGTAATGACCTTCAATGCAATATTAACATGTTTAAGAGTGCAAGCAAAGAAGACAGAACAACGAAAGGTTGACAAAATTGACACAAACATATTTCTTGTTTCCAAGATCCATGCATGATGCGCCAAGGCTTATATATATATATATATATATACACATATATATCAGAGCTATGCCACAGCTGAGACACATGCAGCTCAATGTGAACAGCCTGCCCAGCAAAACTGAACTTCAAAAAATGATAATGAACAAACAACACTTGGATGAACTCAGAGAAATAACTGTGCAACCTCCATTTGTGTTACTCTTACTAATGATTTAGAAAAGCACAACACTAATTTAAGAATTTGCACTCAATGCTTTCTGCCCCATGTGACAACAAGAAAAATGCACACTTGACTTAAGGAGGATTTCCGAACGAGAAAGCAAAGTGAAACATTAAATACCACGAGGAGCAGCTATCTACAGCTGAGGAATGCAGAGATGGAAAAACAGGCAGGAAAGAGAGACAGAGAGAGACAGAGGCTCACCTGACTGTTGCCATAAGGAGGGAGGACTACTCCATTGCTTTGAGTAAATGCTTTCAAAATACGGTCAAACTACAGGGAAGAAGAAACAAGGGTGGAGGACGAAAGAGGTGTGAAAGGGGAGAGAACAATTTAGACAGTGATGGAGAAGTTTAAGTATAAACAGGCACAGAGAAGCAGCAGCTTCAGGACAAGAAGGAAGAGTTCTAGATGTGAGCAGGGTGTGTAATTAGGAGAAAAATAGACTAGCATGCTCAGTCCACTAATGACTGAAGTAAGTTTAACTATTATAACCCTGTCAGCATCAAGAGAACCGGGGTACAACTACATCTTTCTAAGTGGTGCCGGAGAATCTCTGATTACAAATCCTAAGCTACTTAAGCTTCTTCAACAATCAGCACCTCAAACTAGTAAATTGACCTAGCTCACATTTCTCCTCGCTCTAATACCATGTGACACGTCAATAAGTCTTCACTCACCCTCCCATGTTAAGCCAATAGAAACAAACTTTATTAAAGGCTATAGAACAATGTTTGGGTAACAGACAGGCAGACTATGAATCTTTATCACATGAAATATCACCCTGTGTGGCAATTATTGCAAAATGTCTCATCTGCTTTAAACCCTTAAACTAATCCGCATCTCACTAACAGTCCCATTTCAGATTACACAATTTGACCTAAACTTCTTGGCAAACCAAAAACCAAAAAGGTTTTTCAGCTCAAACAAAAGAGATATGGCAGCAAGTTCTCCACCTGTGACGAGCTCAGATTCCTATCAGGCTTAGAAAAATTACTGACCAACACTGTGTGGGGAAAACTGATCTGAGAGTCAGGCCCTGTGTATGAAACTGTGAACAAAAGTCACATGTCCAACTGTGTGTCCCCATTGTCACTCTACTTGCTTACAAGATCTTTAAAACAGACCAGTAGGACACAGTGTTTTACGTTAAAATGTTATAGCAGTGAGGAACAACAAACAAGCATATTTAAGTGTCATCAGGCTTTAAAATAAAATTTTAAGTCTCAAACTTGTTCATTTTGGACATGATCAAGCATCTGAGAGTGATTCACCACTTTTATTATTATTATTTATTATGAATCAGATGTAAAAATAACAGCCTGGTGAGAATCTGTTTCCTGTGAATATGTCTACATGTTGTCCCTTCAATCAGAGCCAGACGAGTGGCTATTAATAGAGATATGATGGAGAAAGAAGACTGCTGCGAAAGAACACTTGCAATATGAGGCATTTCATTTTTCTTCTTCGATATATACTATATAAAAAATGCACACCATAAAATAAAGGTGATGTGGTATCACCAGTAAGCTAAATTAAAGCTCAGGTTACAAGAATAATTTAAAAACATGTCACTTATCATGACAAACGTGTTAAGAATAAAACCTAAAATCCAGTGTTTGCAGGACTGATGGAGCAGACCTGAATCGCTTATGAAGCTATTATTTGTGTGTGACTAAAATTCTTAAAGCTTTTTAAAGTGTTGCTGCTGTTGTTGCCCTTGGCCACTACAATGTTCAATATATAGCTAGGTGCAAAAAAAAAAATATCTGCAACTTCTTCCCCCCATTGATGAACATTATTTTCACCATGACACCAGCTCAGGAGATAGGTGTCAATGCTGCTGCTGCTGCTGCTGCTGCATTATTTCACCTTTGGATTTCAAAGGATGAGGCGTTTGCTAAATTTGATAACAATTCATCAGTAAAATACATCAGCAATGTAAACTTTTCAGGATATAAAAATATATTTTAAGGGGTCACATTTAGGTCTGAGAAATCACAAGGCACAAATAGAGGTTGTTATTTGACAAATAAGAGAAGGGTGACATGCAGGCAAAATATATGGAGCAAATGGGACTGACTTACATTAACTGGAGAGTTTCTGTCTGTCGAAGCTGCATCGTGTTGATTCGGCCCTTTCCCTTTCCTCTTCTTCTTGGCCCCTGCACCTCCTCCACCTCCACCTCCTCCACCCTTTTCTCCTCCCACACTTGCAGGGGAGCTCTTCTGCTGAAACTCCTTCAGCTGAGCAGCACATAAAATAAGGGAACAACACATGCATAAGAAGTACAGAAAACACTTTGTATCAGACAGATCTATAATTCAGAAGAAATTAGACTCAATATATCTAAATGGCTTAAGAGTGGAACTAAAAGTTGTAAATTAAGATCTGAGATGAAGCAGAGATGAATTGCCTCTTTTCTCTGACAATAGACCAGCTCCTCAAAAGATTCAGTTTTAAATTGTTGACTGAATATATACCGGTACTGTATATAACTTCTGGCAACTTGTTATTGTCTGTAACTTAAGCTTGTCTGCTCAATGGCTGACTGTTTAAACCAGGGATGGGGCAACTTTGGCCACAGCAAGGGCCACATTTCCGTTTAATTCTCACTGCCAGAGGGCCAAAATGTATTATACAAAAAACGATTAAAGTCGATTATGTCTCAAGATATACCAGCGATCAAATATTATTAAGGACATATTTCTGGTTTTTCATGATTTCATGGCAGATTTTGTCACATTTTCCAATTAATTGATATGTAAAAAAAAAAAAAAATGGACCTGAGGGGCCACTTTGAGGGTTGATGGGGGGCATGTGGCCCCCGGGCCGCCCAGTTGCCCAGCCCTGGTTGAAACCAAACAAGAGGAAGTTGATATCTTGTGGCAAACTATGATCATCTGTGCGTAGGTAATGCGTTTGTTTTGGCATTTGGCCCGGGACAGCTGCCGTGTGGGACCAGGGGGAGTCCAAACGGGAACTGCAATTTCTCAAACATTAAGGATGAATTGCATCTAAAATGTAAGTAAGCATGGCCAAGGTAGGACAGCAAGGAATGCTGACGAGTCACTAACATCTCACAGCTGATAAGGCCATCTTTCTGCCTAACATCCCACCTAGCCGAAGCCCGCAGCAGGACAGGACAGAGGGGTGTCAGCTGTCAAAACAAGTCCCCGTCATTCTCTCAAGCTAACTGTGCTACAATGCTACTTCAGGGTTATTTAAAAAAATAAACAAAAATCTGTTAGCTGGCATTGTTTTCAAACAATAATAGAGACGTCCTACAGATGAGGAAGAAAGCTGACGAGCGCTGTATGACATTCCTTACATCCACACACAGCCAACTATTCATTAGTTAGCCAGGTTGCTAACCTCAACTTGCATCAGTTAGCACATCAAGGTCTGCTAACATTATATTTTAACATTACCTAAAAACCACAGGGCAAAGAGGAAAAGCGAAGTTGAACACTGACTTAGTAAACAGCGTGGGATGCTGAAAGTACTTTACTTAACTAAAAAAATAGTCCACATAATCTGGGAAAGTTAATGCTATCAATACAGGCCGAGAAGAAGCACCGGTGTATCCTGCGCATTTAAGCCGCCAGAGGAGCATGAGAGATGGCACGAGCGGAAGCGCAGAGGTCGGGCTACGTGTAATGACAACACCCCTGCTCCGCGAAGACAGACTAAAAATAAACGAAAGGGGAAACCCTAAGCGACACAAACTCTCACAGGGTAGAAAGGAGCCGTCTTTCTGATGATTTTAAGCCAGGCAAGTTATAAAATACTTTACCTTTTTCTTAGCTGCAGCGAGTTTGATTTGCCTGCTCTGGTCGGCCATACTGCTGCTCTGGTCGACGGACCGAACCACGTCATCAGTTTGCTGTCCGTCGGTGTCGGTGCCGGTAGAGGGCGAAGTCTCGGCCCTCTCTTAAAAGATAGTCTAGGGGGGGGGGTTAGTTTATGGAGGACGAGACCTGACAAAAGTATAAATAAATAAATAAATAAATGTATAAATAAATACTGGAATAAAAAAATAAAAAAATGAATAAAAAAATAAATAATTAAATGCGTGAATAAATAAATAAAAACTGGTAAATAAATAGGACATAAATAATTAAATGTCTTAAATGTATTTCTACATTTATTTATTTATACATGTATTTATTTCCACATTTATTTATTTATACATGTATTTATTTCCACATTTATTTATTTATACATTTATTTATTTCCACATTTATTTATTTATACATGTATTTATTTCCACATTTATTTACTTCTACATGTATTTATTTCCACATTTATTTATTTATACATGTATTTATTTCCACATGTGTTTATTTATACATTTATTTATTTATAAATACTTTTGTCAGGTCTCGTCCTCCATATTAGTTAGGCTACTCTTCGTCTATATTTCATGTTTTTTTATGTACTCGTTGTTTCCTTTTAGCTAATTTGATTCTTGAACTTTAATTCAGGTGCCATTTTAATCTTTAATCTTGATTTCGACAGAACTTAACCCCCCCCCCGATAACTTGACTCTACCTTATATAGAATAGAATAGAATAGAATAGAATTACTTTATTGATCCCAAACTGGGAAATTGTGGCATTACAGCAGCAGGTTATCCAACACACAATATGAGTAAAAAAAAACACACAAACATAAAAAATAAGAATGTGAATATATACAACCAGGATTTAACTAAGCATTACTAGTCTTAAATAGGAAGATTAAATATGAAAGATTGAATGTAAATGTGCAAAAACAGAGTCGTAAATGGTTGTAAATTAAATATGAAAGATTAAATGTAAATGTACAAAAACAGAGTTGTAAATGGACAGTATTGACATAAGTTAAAGTGCATGAGTGTAGACATGTTATAAGCAGAAACTATACAATATAACGGCGAGTAGACAGACAAATGAAGTGAACATGAGTGCAGGGATAATTTGTAAATTTAACAAAATTTAACAACCTTAATACAAACGTGTACAAATGTAAACATTGTAGCCTGTTTTCAATTTGCGGAGTTAATATGACATTAATGATAACAACTTTGGCATCCATATGTGCACTTTTGTCTCTTATCAAGTTCACTCACATTTAATTAGCCTATAACCTCTATTAGCCTAACCTATGAAAATCCAGAGTAATAATAAATGTAAATAGAAATACACTAACTCAATTAAACCACTTTACGTGGTAGGCCTAATCAAAATGATAATAACACAGCAATACTTAGCCTATTACTGTTTGTAAAAGAAGATAAGATAAGATAAAACTTATTTGATCCCCCATTATGGGGACATTTTTTTGTTACAACAAAATGTTGATTCAAAAAACAGGAATAATAATAATAATTTATTTGCAGATACTGGTCTCAATCCGGCCTAACGTATTTCAATAAAGTAATAGTTTTTAATCCAGTATTTACTCAACCAAGGCTATCAATTGATATTTTGGTTTCTAACTGAGATATTCTAAGTGTCTTCAATATCCTTGCACATAAATAATTATCCTAATTGGGTTAATCCAACTTGGGAAATAAACAGACAAAAAGGAAAAAGCAGCATATTGTAAATTATGAATAATTTCTACATGAATAATTGTATTTTTTTACTGGATTAGCTCTTATGTTTTTTGGTATATGATGTTTGACACTCCCTCCAGCATTCATCTTGTAGTGCCATAGTTCTACTTTCAATTTTAGGGAGAAAAAAAAACTATGGCTTGATTAAGACTGACCTACACAAAAGACAAAAAATGTATAGGGTCCGTTGGTGAAATGTAGAATGATACAGTTGGTGCCCAAGACCATGCAGGACGCAATCAGCAATCATTCTTTGTCTGTCTGGTTCATGAATTTTCTAGAATTATTATTATTATTCCGTCTGTTTTCAAGATATAGGGCAAAATTAGTAGAAAAGCCACAAAATGAGTGTGAACAGTTTCAGGAATTTGCTACAAATGATTAATTAACTATATTGGTGTTACCCATTGAAACAATATAGTAGAATAACATATTTTAATCAGGGTAGAGCAGCAGTGTGCAGCGTTGCATCAGTGCTCTTTAAGGACACATCGAGTTTGCTGACTTTTCTACTTTCTGTAACTCTTTATGTGGTTATTCACCAGAAGTGTTTTTGTTGTTTGAATGTGCTCCTTTTTCTACAGTTTGAACCCCTTAAAACAACCCATTAATGAACACATGATTGAATGAAGAAATAATAAAAGAGAAAGAAAGAAAAAAAGAAAGTAGATCAGTGATACTATTAAACAATACAAATTCACAAATTCCTGAAACAAGCTGATTTGTTTTTGATCCTCACCCCAGTGGCAGATTGATTCCTGCTATAAAAGTGTTTTTCACTCTGTTTCTTGTATTTTTTTACACCATACATTGGTTTTACAACAGAGTAGACTGTGTGTTTGTTGGAAAACCATAGAGCGTCATGATTAAAACAAACACAATTCACATCCGATACAGAATGTTTGTGACAATACTTAATACTTCTGCTGAGACAAGTCTAAATATTCAAAAGGGTTAGCTATTGCAACCAGTTACCTAAGCTTGACCTACTTGGACTTCTGTCATAAGTGACTGTGGGTCATAGTAGAATAGAGTGTGATTTTTTTGTCTGTGCTCCTCGACCTGCAGATGTGTATATTGTACAAAATAATTAAGTGCATTTGTAATTTAAGCTGTTGTGAGCCTGTTATAAAGTCAAGGTTTAAAGTACTGCAGGTTTCTTGCATTTTAAGTGGGGATGTTGAGCCTTAATTGAACTTGTGTACATTATATGATGAAACGTCCAGACAATCTAACTCATCTGATGTAACAGCCTTCACTTTAAGGTCACTGATTAGTCACATACATATTACACAGGGTTTGTACAATTCTTAAACATTGTATTGAGTCATCATTAGGCTACAATCATGATGCCATGATAGTAACACAGCAAACCACTTTAAACAACAGAGACATGAATTTGGAATCCTGGAATCTGTTGCAGAATGACTTAAAGCTCAAGGAGCTGGTGTCCTAAAATGTTTTTAAATCTAAAATGAAAGACATGGCAGCAGATTCTATAGGATGTCGATGCTTTAGCTCGGCTGCTTGAACAACTGAGTCCCAGATATGACTCATAGATGGCTCTATTTTAATCCAAAAATGTTGTGCTTTGTAAATTGTACTGTGTCTCTCTTTTTTTATTTCCGTCTGTAACTTTGTGTTTTTGCTGCTGCCTGTCTTGGCCAGGTCTCCTCTTGAAAAGGAGATGGGACCAACCTGGTTAAATAAAGGTTAAATTAAAAAAAAAAAAAAAAAAAGATGCTAATCCAATACACGTGAATAGATTATTTAAGAAACGCAGCACTAACTTCAAATGTAAGCCTTTATACTGTGAAGTGATTTAAAAAAAAAAAAAAAGTCTACTTCCCTAGACTCTAGAGTGGCGTGTCAGCGCTCCAACTGTGTTCACGAATTCGCCTGACAGTCAATCAGCAGCGGCAACAAAGCGGCCCAGTATCGGTGACGTTGCCAAGACGCGAGAGTGCGCAAATCAGCGTCGGCCAGCGTGCCGCGGGGAACCAATCGGCGCGTTCCAACGAGCAGCCGCTCAGCCAATCGCGGGCCTCCACGATTGGGGAAGAAGTGACGGCTTATATATGGAAGAGAGCGCAGTTCATTCAACATCACTTCACAGACGGGGAAAAAAACACGTAAGAGACAGAACAAAACGGACACGCTTTGGCGTTGAGAGGCTGGTCCTATCCGAGACGACGTGAAGGCCGTTAATTAATTGACGACATTGTTATTCAGGTACGTGGAAACATTTCTTTGAATACGATAATGTGACGACGTTGTATTTTTTCACGTTGTGAAACAATTTTCATTCTGACCAAGCTAGCTGAGGTAATGACGATAGTGATATATTTCACCAAACTTACTCGTAGCTTTTCTTTTTTTTAATGCATATAGTTAAACAATGTGATAATAATGACAAAGTAGCTGGCCCTTGTGATTAGATATGTTGCCTTGCATGTCTGCTAAGCACGCCAACGTGGTTAAGCTAGGTACCGGCGGATGGGGAGGGGGGAAGGGGGGGGGGAAGTAGCCAGGGGTGTTAACAGTGAAAAAGAGGCGGTGTTGCTCCACCCAGTTGACCCCATGTTCTTTTTAAGACTTTGACATTTTGTGATTTCTTTGGCTAAAAAAAAAAACCACGCTTCTCTCACACAATGACTCCAAATCCCAGAAAATGACACTCCATCATTGTTTGACACTAGCTTTGTGAAATGGTAGACAGCTAAGGTAAAGCCACATTGTTCTAATGATTTGTTTCTTTCTGTAGATTTTTTTTTTTTCACATACTGGAGTATAAACAAGCCAAGATGAAGCTGCTGTGGGTTGTAATGTTGGTGGCCGGCACCGTGTTCGCCGACGACGACGACAAGAAGGACAGCGTGGGGACTGTGGTTGGAATCGACCTCGGGACCACCTACTCATGGTAAATAGAGACAAAGTGACAGCTGTCTTGATTGTTTTACACGCAACCTTTAAATGTGGATAACACTAATCATTTCTTAATTGTTTTTTTTTTTCCTTTTTAGTGTCGGAGTGTTCAAGAATGGGCGTGTGGAGATCATCGCCAATGACCAGGGTAACCGCATCACTCCATCGTACGTGGCCTTCACCAGCGAGGGTGAGCGTCTGATTGGCGACGCTGCCAAGAACCAGCTGACGTCTAACCCTGAGAACACCGTCTTCGATGCCAAGAGGTTGATTGGGCGCACTTGGGGAGACTCGACTGTGCAGCAGGACATCAAGTACCTGCCGTTCAAAGTAAGTTTCCGCACTTCTTGACGTTACTGTTAAGAGTCTTAAGGTCCTTTTTTTTGGTATCGTTTGAGCTTCATTCTCTGTTTGTAACATTGATTCATGTTCCTTTTTAGGTAACTGAGAAGAAGAGCAAGCCCCATATTCAGGTAGACATTGGTGGTGGCACGATGAAGACATTTGCTCCTGAGGAGATCTCTGCCATGGTGCTGACTAAAATGAAGGAGACTGCTGAGGCTTATTTGGGCAAGAAGGTACAAACACATGAAAAAAATACATTTAAAATATGTACCTCATCAAAATGATGTTCAATCAAAGCTAATGAGTTTATCCTTTGTCAGGTTACACATGCTGTGGTCACTGTCCCTGCCTATTTCAATGACGCCCAGCGTCAGGCCACTAAGGATGCTGGAACCATCGCTGGTCTGATTGTCATGAGAATCATCAATGAGCCGTAAGTTTTGAATGAAAATGATGTTTGTTGTTGTGTTTGTAAAATATTTCCCTTCATTTTTGTATTAACGTATCTTCCTTTTTTTTTTTTTTAGAACTGCTGCCGCCATTGCTTACGGTCTTGACAAGAGAGACGGCGAGAAGAACATTCTCGTTTTCGATCTTGGCGGTGGCACCTTCGACGTCTCCCTGCTGACCATCGACAACGGTGTGTTTGAGGTGGTGGCAACCAATGGTGACACTCATCTTGGAGGTGAGGACTTCGACCAGCGCGTCATGGAGCACTTCATCAAGCTGTACAAGAAGAAGACCGGCAAAGATGTGCGCAAAGACAACAGGGCAGTGCAGAAGCTGCGTCGTGAGGTCGAGAAGGCAAAGAGGGCGCTGTCCGCTCAGCACCAGGCCCGCATTGAGATCGAGTCCTTCTTTGAGGGAGAGGACTTCTCTGAGACCCTGACCCGTGCCAAGTTTGAAGAGCTCAACATGGTAAATAATTGAACCAACATTTTGGTTATAGAAAAACTGTAACTCTAGTATAATGTTACCCTCTTGTTTATGAAACATGATTTACTAACAGTTGAACCTTTTTTCTTTTTCCAGGACCTGTTCCGTTCCACCATGAAGCCTGTGCAGAAAGTACTGGAAGACTCTGACCTGAAGAAGCCTGACATTGATGAGATTGTCTTGGTTGGAGGCTCCACCCGTATCCCCAAAATCCAGCAGCTGGTGAAGGAGTTCTTCAGTGGCAAAGAGCCCTCCAGAGGCATCAACCCTGATGAGGCCGTGGCATACGGAGCTGCTGTGCAGGCTGGAGTGCTTTCTGGAGAGGAGGACACTGGTAGGTTATCATCGTCTCGCATCATTTAATTCTAATTCGCTGAACTAGCTTTTATATTGTGTACTAATAATGTTCCTATCTTACAGGAGATGTTGTTCTTCTGGACGTGTGCCCCCTGACTCTTGGTATTGAGACTGTTGGAGGAGTGATGACTAAACTGATCCCCAGGAACACTGTGGTGCCTACAAAGAAATCCCAGATCTTCTCTACAGCTTCTGATAACCAGCCCACTGTCACCATTAAGGTTTATGAAGGTAAGAATTGTGCATACCCAACATGAAGAAAAAAAAGTTTAAAAATAGCTGTTGGGTTTTTTTGGTATGCAGAAAAAAAAAATGGAATTTTGCAAAAGTTTATTCATTGATTCTGTCTCTAGGTGAGCGTCCTCTCACAAAAGACAACCATCTGCTGGGCACATTCGACCTGACTGGCATCCCTCCCGCCCCTCGTGGTGTGCCACAGATTGAGGTCACCTTCGAGATCGATGTCAACGGTATCCTGCGTGTCACAGCCGAGGACAAAGGTACAGGCAACAAGAACAAGATCACCATCACAAACGACCAGAACCGCCTGACGCCAGAGGACATCGAGCGCATGGTGAACGATGCAGAGCGCTTCGCCGATGACGACAAGAAGCTGAAGGAGAGGATCGACGCCCGCAATGAGCTGGAGAGCTACGCTTACTCTCTGAAGAACCAGATCGGAGACAAGGAAAAGCTCGGCGGAAAGCTGTCGGATGAGGACAAAGAAATCATTGAGAAGGCAGTAGAGGAGAAGATTGAGTGGATGGAGTCACACCAGGAGGCTGAGCTGGAAGACTTCCAGGCTAAGAAGAAGGAGCTTGAGGAAGTGGTACAACCAATTATCAGCAAGCTTTACGGCAGTGCAGGAGGACCACCACCAGAGGGCGCAGAAGCCGAGCAAGACGAGAAGGATGAGTTGTAGGCAAGTTTGCCATCAACTGTTTTGTCGCCCCTTGCCTCTCTGTTAGTGGCACTTAGATGTACATAATGAACTGATGAGACTCAAATCGTGAGAGGAACGGTTGGGAAGGGGTGGCCATAACAAGCAACCCTACTAAATCCTCTGAAAGACTTTAAAAAAAAAACAAGTTTCAGTGTGTGAGAGGTGTTCTCTTCGCTGGAAGGCGGAGATATTCGTCAGCCTGGATATGAGGCTTGCTGCTGCTGTTCTCAGGCAGTCCTGTTGGGGTGATGTTGTGGGGAGGGACTTAGTGGGTGGGTTGGGGCAGGTGTTAGTGGGTCATTTGAGTTGGAAGTCTGTGGGATCAAGGGCTCATTATGTCCACAGTCAAGGCTAAAAGTTATTTATTGAATCTGGTCGTTGTACTTCTGGAAAGACATTGAAATAAATGTTTGATAAAAAATCCAAATCTGGTGTCTGTCATTTGCATTCATTTCATAGTGTACCTGGTCACAATCAATATTTCAGCCTTTTGTAGCACTAAGATGAATTCTTAAGAGCTCCAAACTTGGAAACCCACCATTTCAGTATTCATAGAATTAAAAAATGTATCTTGGGTTTGTTGATTTAATCAAGACAGAAGAGTTCTTAAAAACAATTTATTTAAACTTTAGTGAGTATTACATCATCATGAAACCACAGTCACAACACAGTCATTATGAAGGACACCCTGGGTATCCATCCCTCCAAATACAAAGGCCAAATGTATTGTCTCTGAGGCTGTTGGGCAGTCGGCCTGCTCCTTATCTCCATTCCCCTCAGCATGCACCGTCCAGGGCAATAAACACATGGAGTGGTCCAGGCGGTTGGGGGGCATATCCCCTTCAAACTTCATAAGGACCCATCTGCTTTTGTCTGCAAACATAATGGATAACATTGGAGGTTTAAACTTCTCAACCACAGTTTTAAATGTAATACAACTTTCTGCGTATGATGTGATAAGGTACAAATATTCAATGACAAGATTAATGAAAATTCTATTACCAGTGTTGAATCTATACATGGAGTTGGTCGCTCCTTCTGCTGTCATTACCCCAAAGATATAGATGTTCTTTCCCAAAGCCACAGCTGAGTGGGCTGCTACTCCTGGTGGGATATCTCCTTTGACTTGCACCTTCTCCCACTTCATGATCTCTTTGAACAGTAGACACTTTGTTTTATTTTTTTAATCAAACAAACATGATATTCCCAAGTTTTGAGGCTCTTTATTTTAATCTTGTATTATCATTTAGAGGCTGGGGGGAAATTAAGATAAAAGTGATCCCATATGCAGGTATTGCTGTCTACGTCATGAAACAGACTGAAATGAAAACGGATGTCCTTATATGACCTACAAAAGCAAACAACTCTGATTGTTTCTATACTTTGTCTTTTGAACGCCTGTAACTATTGCAGCGGGGTAGGTGTACCAGGTGATTTACAGCTCGCTGCAAAGAAATTTCCATGGAAAATATTCACAATCAGTGATACGTTTGACTGTTTGAAGAAAGTAGCATGAGATTTTTTGTTAAAAACAATTTTTATACATGTACAGGAAAAAATCAGCAGTGAAATAAGATGTACTGTTTTGTCCACAGAGAGCGCCAAAATTGACATAAACCGAAATTACTAACAGGATCTTTCACAAACAAATAAAAAAAAAGAAAAATTGAGAATTGAAATAGAAACCAAACATCAAGTTAAATGGAAAGACGCTGTATGTCCAGCATTATTATAAACAAAAATTACATTAATAGAGTTATTTATATACCTGAAAGATTACAAACTTGTCTGAAGGAGGGCAGAGAGACTTTAGTTTTTCACTACATCAGATAATTCCAAAGTAACATACACAGTATATTAGCACCTCTTCTTCATGTGAATTGGAATTAGTCAGGGAAACCATCTGAAAATAAGAGAGTACTGGATTCATTTGAATTGGGATTTACCTGTTAGCTGTACATTCTGGATACAATTGCGGTTGCCGCTCTGCTGTGCCCCTCCAAACACCCACAGGCTCTGAGGACAGCTTTCTGGGACAAAGCAGCAGTGTTCATACCGCGAGTCCAAACCCTCCCACTCTGGGATGTCCCACTCATGATTATCTGGGGGAGTCAGAGAGAGGAAAAATACCCCAAAAAATGTCTAACAATATAGAAGACATGGGAACACAGATGACACTTCAAAGTAAACAACAATGATAAACACCTTTTAGCAATATGGTTTTTCACAATCAAAGTCAGTCAAAATTTTTGAAATTGCTTGTAACTGCAGACATAATATCTCTGCACAGTCTCTTTCAATTACCAAGATCAGTGGTTCTCAAACTATGGTATGGGCTCCCTGTGGTGGTACGCAAAGAAATCTCCACAATATAAAAAACAAACCCGATCAGCATAAAACCACAATTTTTGTATCTTGTATCTATTGGGTTGTATTTATATCAAATGTGTTTTCCCCTCTAAATTAATCTAGTTTTTGCAACAAACAACTTTAATCTGCTCAATTTATGCTCACGCACACACATAAACAACAACAGGAGTACGCCTCGCGTTTTGAAAAGTTCCACTCGATATTCCGTTATAGTTCAGTACTGAAACAACAGCAAACAGCTGTAGGCCTACATTCACAGATATATGAACAGATATATTATATTCTGTGAATGTAGGCCTACATTAACAGATATATTAACAGATATATTATATTATGTGAATGTAGGCCTACAGTAACAGATATATTAACAGATATATTATATTCTGTGAATGTAGGCCTACAGTAACAGATATATTAACAGATATATTATATTATGTGAATGTAGGCCTACAGTAACAGATATATTAACAGATATATTATATTCTGTGAATGTAGGCCTACAGTAACAGATATATTAACAGATATATTATATTTTGTGAATGTAGGCCTACAGTAACAGATTAATGTATGTATTTCCAAACAGGTTGTTGGTCTAAAGTTGTCATTTTTATTTTTCTGCACTTTTGTGTGTGCAAGTTCTAGCGCTAACCATTAGTAGGCCTACAGTGTGCCTGCCAGTAGACAATAATAAATAATATTCTTTTTTTATGAATTAATTTGCCTCTTGCATTAAAAATACGTGTTGAAATCGGCCTACAGTGTATTTCAACGTCTAACTAAGCATTACTAGTCTTAAATAGGAAGATTAAATATGGAAGATTGAATGTAAATGTGCAAAAACAGAGTTGTAAATGGTTGTAAATTAAATATGAAAGATTAAATGTAAATGTGCAAAAACAGAGTTGTAAATGGACAGTATTGACATAAGTTAAAGTGCATGAGTGTAGACATATTATAAGCAGAAACTATTCAATATAACCGCGAGTAGACAGACAAATGAAGTGAACATGAGTGCAGGGATAATTTGTAAATTTAACAAAATTGAACAACCTTAATACAAACGTGTACAAATGTAAACATTGTAGCCTGTTTTCAATTTGCGGAGTTAATATGACATTAATGATAACAACTTTGGCATCCATATGTGCACTTTTGTCTCTTATCAAGTTCACTCACATTTAATTAGCCTATAACCTCTATTAGCCTAACCTATAGTCTGTAACCTATAGCCTGTAACCTCAGGTGCAATAAGAGATAATAAGTGCAATAAGAAAACTTATTTATATTTTCATTTCATTGTACAGTGTTCCCCTTGTTATTTTATTTTGTATTATATCTTTGCTTTAATACAGTGTATAACTTCTGTAGTTTATTTTAAATCACTTAGCTGTTACTACAACTTTTTTACTTTTACATTTTTTATACTTTTCTACTCTTTTTTTTCTTCTTACAATGCTAATCTATCTTATATATAATTTTAACTTTTTTTTTGTAGAAGCTGACTCAGGGAGAAACGCACAAGAATTCCAACATACCTGTACTGTCCTGTACCTGTGCAAATGGCACTAAACATCTATTCTATTCTATTCTATAAGCCTCCATGAAAATCCAGAGTAATAATAAATGTAAATAGAAATACACTAACTCAATTAAACCACTTTATGTGTGGTAGGCCTAATCAAAATGATAATAACACAGCAATACTTAGCCTATTACTGTTTGTAAAAGAAGATAAGATAAGATAAAACTTATTTGATCCCCCATTATGGGGACATTTTTTTGTTACAACAAAATGTTGATTCAAAAAACAGGAATAATAATAATAATTTATTTGCAGATACTGGTCTCAATCCGGCCTAACATATTTCAATAAAGTAATAGTTTTTAATCCAGTATTTACTCAACCAAGGCTATCAATTGATATTTTGGTTTCTAACTGAGATATTCTAAGTGTCTTCAATATCCTTGCACATAAATAATTATCCTAATTGGGTTAATCCAACTTGGGAAATAAAAAGACAAAAAGGAAAAAGCAGCATATTGTAAATTATGAATAATTTCTACATGAATAATTGTATTTTTTTACTGGATTAGCTCTTATGTTTTTTGGTATATGATGTTTGACACTCCCTCCAGCATTCATCTTGTTCCGTCTGTTTTCAAGATATAGGGCAAAATTAGTAGAAAAGCCACAAAATGAGTGTGAACAGTTTCAGGAATTTGCTACAAATGATTAATTAACTATATTGGTGTTACCCATTGAAACAATATAGTAGAATAACGTATTTTAATCAGGGTAGAGCAGCAGTGTGCAACGTTGCATCAGTGCTCTTTAAGGACACATCGAGTTTGCTGACTTTTCTACTTTCTGTAACTCTTTATGTGGTTATTCACCAGAAGTGTTTTTGTTGTTTGAATGTGCTCCTTTTTCTACAGTTTGAACCCCTTAAAACAACCCATTAATGAACACATGATTGAATGAAGAAATAATAAAAGAGAAAGAAAGAAAAAAAGAAAGTAGATCAGTGATACTATTAAACAATACAAATTCACAAATTCCTGAAACAAGCTGATTTGTTTTTTGATCCTCACCCCAGTGGCAGATTGATTCCTGCTATAAAAGTGTTTTTCACTCTGTTTCTTGTATTTTTTTACACCATACATTGGTTTTACAACAGAGTAGACTGTGTGTTTGTTGGAAAACCATAGAGCGTCATGATTAAAACAAACACAATTCACATCCGATACAGAATGTTTGTGACAATACTTAATACTTCTGCTGAGACAAGTCTAAATATTCAAAAGGGTTAGCTATTGCAACCAGTTACCTAATCTTGACCTACTTGGACTTCTGTCATAAGTGACTGTGGGTCATAGTAGAATAGAGTGTGATTTTTTTGTCTGTGCTCCTCGACCTGCAGATGTGTATATTGTACAAAATAATTAAGTGCATTTGTAATTTAAGCTGTTGTGAGCCTGTTATAAAGTCAAGGTTTAAAGTACTGCAGGTTTCTTGCATTTTAAGTGGGGATGTTGAGCCTTAATTAACTTGTGTACATTATATGATGAAACGTCCAGACAATCTAACTCATCTGATGTAACAACCTTCACTTTAAGGTCACTGATTAGTCACATGCATATTACACAGGTTTGTACAATTGTACAAAAATGTTCACTGTTCCAACTGTGTTCACGAATTCGCCTGACAGCCAATCAGCAGCGGCAACAAAGCGGCCCAGTATCGGTGACGTTGCCAAGACGCGAGAGTGCGCAAAATCAGCGTCGGCCAGCGTGCGCGGGAACCAATCGGCGCGTTCCAACGAGCAGCCGCTCAGCCAATCGCGGGCCTCTCCGATTGGGGAAGAAGTGACGGCTTATATATGGAAGAGAGCGCGGTTCATTCAACATCACTTCACAGACGGGGAAAGAAACACTAAGAGACAGAAGAAGACGGACACGCTTTGGCGTTGAGAGGCTGGTCCTATCCGAGACGACGTGAAGGCCGTTAATTAATTGACGACATTGTTATTCAGGTACGTGGAAACATTTCTTTGAATACGATAATGTGACGACGTTGTATTTTTTCACGTTGTGAAACAATTTTCATTCTGACCAAGCAAGCTAAGGTAATAATAATAATAATAATAATAATAATAATAACTTTATTTATATAGCACCTTTTAAAAACACAGGTTTACAAAGTGCTTTGACAAACAGCAAGAACAAAGCAAACTAAACCAAACACAGAAAAAACATTAACAACAGTAAGAATATAACAGATGCAAAATACCAAAAATAATTAAATACAATTCAACAGAAAAGAACCCAAAGTGCACGATACACACCCAG